CACTGCGGCAGCAGGTCCTCGATGAGAACGTTGAGGAGGATAATCAGCGCCATGGTGGCAGCCATGCACAGCGTCATCTCCAGGCTCAGCAGCGCCTGGTAGTTGTAGTTAACAAAGTTTGAAGGGGGAATGTACGGTTGCTGGTTCTTGGCAGTGCATGCTGGAAGAATGCAGAAAATGATGACTGCAACTGCAGTGCTCAAAAGCAGGATGGGACAGTGATGAGCAGCCATTTTTAATGGACTACCACGACAACTTTGCTTTATCAAACGCAACTAAAATCAATGCAATTTATATAGCTTTGTCTCACTCTCAACAGCAGTATTGTTAGATCACACATTTGTATATTATTATGATTATGATGGTTCTATTTTACAACGTTTAGCTCCAACTCGTCATCAAACACCTCCGACTGAACACTCATCTCTTGACCAGCCAGGCCATGAGGGCGGAGAAGTTGACGCCGGCAAAGATGCCCATAACCAGTGAGGCGGCGGCCATCATGCCAGCAGTGCCCGAGTGCTTCGCCTCCACCGAGCTGGGCGCGTAAATCATGCAGAGCGAGCAGAAATAGCCAGTGGTCAGACCGAGCAGACTCTGGCCGACGACAAACATTACGTCAGAGTTGATCAGAACCGGCCAGATGCGAGTGGCTGGCGCAAAGTTGGCCATCAGGAAGAAGGGAATGAAGAGCAGGCGAAGGACGACGGCAATCCACAGGTGATTCGGCCCTGGAAACTGAAACCACCGAGGAAGAAAGTTTCCGAAGAGGGCACTGGCGTTGAACACCAGGAAACAGCAGAGGGCGGTGAAGTAGCGCTCGGTCCACTGGAGGGAACCGCCCAGGAAGAGCGGACTGACCGGCTCAATGTCTGCCGTGATCACCGGAAAGACGGAGAGGGTGACGAAGAAGACGAGAAAGACGTTCAGACACTGCGGCCAGGCGGACTTCATCACCAGCCAGTAGGGCGGACGGGAGGAGGGGGCAATCTCTACCACTGTCTTGCTGCCGCCACACTCTTCACCGCCAGTCTTTCCTCCCCCACCGCCGTTGATCATCAGCTGCTGCTGGTCGAGGACATAGTAGGCAAAAAAGCGATTGTACGGCAGGGCAATGTACGAGACCAGGCAGAGGAGGAGCATGGCCAGCGCCGAGGAGAAGTAGAAGATGGCGGCGGTCTGCTTGTTGGGCGAGGCGCTGATGCTCAGCCAGTTGACCAGCGAAACGAAGGTGCCGCAGCAGTTGGTGCCCAGGACGACGGCGTTGGAGTACTCGGGCAGGCGGGAGGCAATGCCCCAGAGTGTGTTCTGGTAGACGCCGTTGGCGATGTTCAGCACCACCACCGAGCCCATCGTCAGGTAGAAGAAGGTGGACGTCCAGGCGGTGGTGTCCAGCACCGCCAGGACGATCGTCATCACGATGATGGCCGTCTCCGCGAGGATGCCCCCCAGAATGCGGTTCTGAAAGCGGCCGCTGGCGAACTGCACAAAGACGTTCAGCAGACTGCAGAGGACGTTGGGAATCTGCGCCGCCAGGCCGAGATAGGAGAGGAAGTAGGCGACGTAGGTGCTGTTTGAGAGGGCTTGTCCCATCTCCTCATCGACCACGGTGAGTTTGTCGGTGAAGTAGGCATTGGCGTTGATGAACATGTTCCAGGGCATGAGGATGCCGATTCCGTGGAGGATCAGGGTGATGTACACAAAATGGTACCGGTCCTTCGGTGGCGTCGCCGAACAGGTCTCCGAAGAGGACTCGGAGGAGTCGGAGGCGGAGGAGAGGGCCCCATTGCCGGCAAAGTACGGCGAGTACAGCTCACTGGCGTTGCTGGCGTTGCTGCTGCTCTTCTTCATTGTTCTTCTTCTTCTTCTTCAGCAGTGGCCTGAGTGGTCTGTTCGGTGTGAAGTCTGAGTGCCTACTGAGGCAGGATTCACTCTCGGAGCGGCGTTTTAGCATGCTCGAGCTCGTCCTCTTCTACCAACCAACTATCCGAAATATGATTCTTCCTCGCCTTGCCTTGCCTTGCCTTGCACGCCGTACGTCTGTGCACTGGTTGTTGTAAAAAGAGAGAGAGAGATGCTTATCTACCGTAGGCTCGAAATCAGTCAGTCAGTCAGTCTCAGACTTCGGCTGGCTAATCTTCGTCCGCCTGCGACGGTGTACGATTAGCAGCAGCAGAAAACGAAGAAGAAGAAGAAAAGTAGCAATGGTGGCGGTACCAGCACCAGTCACCACTGGTGCGCCGGGGTGGCTGATAGTGCACCAGCAGTGCGGCACCTCTTTGCCTCAGCAGCGGTACCGTACACATTGGCGGGGAAAAAGAGGTTACATCGACGACTTTGCATCGAGCACTACAAATAGCAGCATGTGCAGCTTGTGCCATTGAACGATAAAGACCAGAAGAAGTGCACAGCTGTACAGTTGGAGCGGCAGCATTGTACCGATGTCCAGTTGATGCTGTTTCGCTGTTCTGCTCCCCTTTGATCTTCCTCAGACTAGCTTTCGTTTGCTAAATATACAACTGCTGAACTGCATATAAATGCCGTTACGCAGAGTCACTTGACTGGTGGTGACTGATATTGGTAGTGCACGGAAAGAAGATTGATCTATGGCGGAGATTGCTTTTGTGATGGCGGCGGCGGGGGAAAAAGAGGGAACATTGATTGCCAAATTAACAAAAAATAGTGCAGCTTCCATCGTTTTTCAAAGCGGCGATGCGAAAAGGGTGTGCTTTTGCGTACGCGTCCACCAGATGCCGCCAGGCGGCCAGGTCGACGCATTTGCGAGCACACCTTTTACGCGCAGGCCAACAAAAGCAAATCGGTCTCCGATGCGGCGGTGGTGCATCGGATGCACTGTGGCCAGGCAAAGGCTCCGTCTGCACAAGTGACAACAAGAAGTGTGTCTGCTTGTGCTTGTCCAACAGTCTGGTCCTGGACGAAGCGCTTCTTCAGCCAAACTTCACCATCACCATCATCGCCAAAGACGGCGGCTGCTAACATCATGTCTAGTGCCCTCTCGGAGCATCACATCTTCTCGCCGGGTGCCCTTGTGGAGGTGCAAACGGTAACCACTGAGACGATAACCGGCGAAGTGCTGGCTTTTGAGTACGATGATCGTCTGCTGATTCTCAGTAAGTTCATGGGGGTGAAAAGTTTGTGCTTTTGAAATACTAACAGACGGTTACCTTTGTAGAGTCTCAATCATCAAATGGAAGCGTCAATTCCAGCAACGTCACTTGTCTTAATCTTGACCTGTGTGGCGCCGTGAAGATTATCTCTGAACCGGACGCGGAACGTCTTGCTGCTGAAGGAATCGTTCCCAATGCAAAACTACCAGAAATTGATCTTAAAAAGGTTAGTAATCTTTCATTTGATATTCCCTAAGTTCAACAAAAACTACAATGTTTGCTTGATCAACAGCTAGACGAACGACTGGCAAATGCTATTTCTGAGCGTCGTCTTCTGGTCGAGGCTTACAAGAATGGCGCAGGACTTGAAGGCGTATCACTCTACACTCGTCTTCAAAAGACTGTGTAAGTTTATCTTGTTGTTAAAAGCTGGTCGATGCTAATCTTTTCTTGGCTTTCTAGCGGCGAAAGCTTTGGCATTTCTTGGGACCGCGACAGTATTATCATCGGCAAGAACATACGCATTGCAAAGCCGTACACTGCCGATTGCATTAGCTTTTTCAATACCGGTCCAAAGCCACCGCCAAACTTGAAGACGTCGCTCAACTACGCAAAACAGCTGGTGAGTACTGTTTAGAAATTGGTGGATCAACTTCATTTTTATCAATTTACATTTTTTTCAGGTTGAAAAATACTGGAACGATCAGAATAAAGCCTCCTACAATCTGACTCCGCTACCCAGTGGTGGATCACCACAAGCGCGGAGCACTACTACTAGCGAATGAGAGAGAATGCACACCTTCACAGTGCGTTCAAAGTCTCATTTTTCTTTTTTATGAATTTCTTATATATACAAAAAAATTAAAAATGGAAGCAACTCTAGCTTAAGTTTGAAAACGAAAACGATTCCATGATTCCGTATTAAAACTCTCTCTTTTCACGTGCACTCTATGAGTGCAGAAGACAAAAAACATGTCATTGCGAAATTTTTTCGGTGTTTCCTAGTTTGTATGCTTGCTGCTGTTTGACAGTTGGCGGCTGCTGCTGCTAATGCAGTGCTCTAAATTGTCGGCGTCTCTCAGTGTGTGCACTGGGCGACCTGAACTTCGCCTTGCACGACGACGACAGTGTGTGTTTGTTTCGCAATCGATGACAGACAAGAAAGGAGGTGGCAGAGCAAATGCAAATGACATTTGCAGTGGTGGTGAGTTATGGACGCGTGAGATGAGGATTGGCGACACTGCTGCACTGCCTGCACAAGCTAGGCAGTGGGCACATGGACAATGGGCAATGACTGGGAGAGGGCTCCAATGGACTATTGAGTGGTGAGCAGATTAAGAGAGGAAAAGAGGGATGATGATGATGATGATGGGAATGGTGGTGGGATGACTAAGAACAGATCAACAGTGGTGGTGATCACCATCACTGATTTCCATTGTTCACTAGGAACTACTCTGAGAAAGCATGTATTGATTATCCTGCCATTATTCCATTACTTGCTGGTCATCTTGTATTAGAAAAAAGTTTACGAATAACGGTTTACTTTACAGTGGTAATTACTGAAGTAATTAGTTAGTTAGGGTACGCATTCATCTCCATGTGATTTTTTTGAAAAAAATTGCTGCAATGCAGTTGCAATTTACATTAATTTCACCACCTGTTTTCCCCTTTTGCCCTCTTCCCTTTCGCATCAGCATTAATCTTCGTCACTTTCTTCACCCAAATAAATCTCTCTTTTACTGTTTGCCCTCCTATGCAGAAAGTGAATCCTCTATGTAAAAGTCCCCTGTACCTTCACTGGTCACCGGGCAATTACCATTCAACACAATTTGTCTGTCTGTCTGTTTGTCTGTGTGCTTTGCAATGCAAAGGAAAGGCAATGCATCTTTCTATTTGCTGTGTTTATTGTGTGTATGTTTGCGCTGGTCGTCCAGGTAAATTATATTTCATCTCCATCGCCTGATTACCTTTTCTCTCTATCGCCAAGACAATCGGCGCCAAGCAACAGTGGGCAGCGTTTGAGGAAGAAGAAGAAGAATAAGCAGTGCTCACCCTCACCGAGACACGCCCACTCTCATTCAGTGTTGGCGATGTGAATCAGCAAGTTAGGAAAAGAAAGAGAGAAAAGGCGAAACTTTGAGTTTGAAATGAAGTAATCGATGGTGGTCGTGGCGTGAGGGTGCGCCCACTTTTCTCCCTTTTCCTCTCTCTCTCTTTCTGCTGCACCTCCACCTCCATCGTCAGTGAGCACTGTCTGGCCAATCGTATGTACTCTCTTGAACCTCACCCTCGCCTCCACTTTGCCGAGTCAGTCAGCAGCACTCTCTCTCTCTCTCTCTCTCATTGACTCTTTGCAAAAGTCGGTCTCTGTGTCGGCAGTGGCGCAGACAGACGAGTGCTTCAGCAGTTGCCAGCAGTTCTCCTCACCCTCACTTGTCGATGCATGTGAAAGTGAATCCACACGGCTGCTCCTAGACAACCGCTGTCATGTGACATTTAAATGGCTTCAACGTGAAGACTGCTGCACGCTGATGAATGCGATGAGGATGTGAAGAAAAGTACTGCCAGTTATATTCTGTAATACACAAAGGTGCCAGGGGGTTAGCAAATAAACAACAACAACTAGTGCATGTGCGTGAGATAACTGCATATAACTTACATTGGAGACTGTTTGCAATTATAAATTTTTTCTAGTTTTTATAGATTTATAGATAGAGAAAAAATCGCTTCATTAGAAAATTATGCAGAAGTTTATATGCGCACAGTTTTTTAAAAAAAGCATCACTAGATTGTAAAAATGCACTAGTTGCTTTCGAACTTTTAGAATGGCTACATTAATTCCAAAAATGAACAAATACTTTTGCGAATAAAAACAAATGTTGTTCACCAACAGACATGTTTATTGACAGGTATGTATGCATAAATTGGTCTCCTAATTATAATTTGCCTGCAAACTAATTGCATTCCCTTTCACTTTCACTTCCAGCGGAGTGTACCATCTAAGAGCACCCTCATCCACTCTCTCTCATCATCTCTTTGCCATTGCAGAGTATGCATCAGTATGCCAGTGAAGTAAGCAGAAAGTGGGCACTGAGGGTGCGTTTGAATGGGAAGAGAGTGAGAGTGAGAGTGAGAGTGAGAGTGAAAGGCAGTGGAGCACATGAGTCTCAGTCAGTGGCTGTGTGTGTGTTTTGTATGTATTGTTGATGCAGAAGGCGGTACAGCAACAGCAGTGGTGGTGGACTCGGTCCATGAAAGCTCGCAGGGAGAACAGCAACGCTGCGCTGAAGCACTCAGCAAACACAATCCGCTGTTTCTCCGCTGCCCTTGAAGGCGACACACGTACAGCAGGGAAGAAGTGAGATCACCGAGGAAGCTCATTCAGCTCCGTCGCTGTACTCCGTCGCTCTCACTCTCCATCTGTGTGTCGAAGCAGCAGCAGCAGCAGCAGCAGCAGCTCTTGTACTTTTACTTCGTCTCGGAGACCACTGCTGCCGCTGTAGGACAGCAGTCTCTTCATCGTCCACTGTAGTGTGTGCGCGCCTGTACACTGGTTCCCACTGCTGTATATTCTGCCGCTGCTACTACCACAATTGCTTCCTCACGCCTCGACCACGTCCTCCTCCTCCTCCTCCGTCCCTTCTTCTGACTCTCTCTCTTTCTCGCTCTCACCAGCGGCAACATCGTCAGTGCTTCAGTTGACCTCGACCGACATAAGGACGCGCTCCTCCAGGACTACAGGCGCCCTGTACGAAGGAACACACAGCGAATCTCTGCGTTCTGCATAGCCGTAGCAGCAGCTGCACTAGTGCTCTCAGTGGCAGTGTGTGTTGGAGTTGCTCTGTGCCCTAGTGAGCATCATCACCACCATCACCAGCAGCACCGGCGGCGGCGACGGCGACGACAACGGCATCGCGCAGCAACACACGCCACCACCAGCACCAACAGCAGCAGCACCACCACCACAACACCACAGAGCACCAACGCTTGGCATCATCTTGTGAGCAGAGTGCCTGCAACTAACCCAAGACAACGGCCGAGTGCAAGGAAGAGCAGTGCTCAAGGAAGCACCAGCACTAGCACCAGTTTCCGAACAGCGAGGACTACTAGCTCACCACCACGACCACCACAACCAGCAGCACCAGCAACACCAGCAGCGGCAGAAGCAGCAACTGCATCTTCAGCAACAACAACAACAGCAACTGCAGCAGCGGTAGTAGTCTGAAGACCAGTTCCTCCACTCAGAGTTCGGTCACCTGGTCTCCTCTACGCCTTCAGTCAACTTGCAGTTATCATTAGCAGCAGCTGCAGCACCAGTATCATCACCTTCCCCTCATGGACAGCACATGACTTTCATCAGTACAGTGAAGTGCACTTCCTCTTCCCAGTGATGAACTTCCGCACCTGGGCGCAAAACAGGCCTTCACGGTTGCTCTGCCTTCAGGGTCCCAGTGTCAGGTGTTTTCAGCAGTCAGACGGACATCTCGCTCATCAATAGTGTGCCTACCAGTGCAGCCTCCACTGCTCAGTGAATGTCGTTCCTCATTGGACCAGTGTACAATGGCCAGTGCAGTTATCTTCACTTGAGAATCCTTTCACAGTACACTTTCACCCTCGCCCGTAAAGAAAGCCCTCCACAATGTCTGCCGCCGCAGTCAGCTCATCACTGGTCGTCTCTGACCAGCAACCACAACAACAGCAACAACAACAATCACCAACTGACCTAAAACCCAGCTTAATTGACATCAAACAATCCAAGTCTCCACCACCCTCAGAGAGCAACATGGAGCACCAAACACCTGCAAATACCTCGTCAGGTGAATCATCGACAACAAGCGAGAATCCTTCTACGCCTTCTGCACCAGCTACTCAGTGCTCCTCCTCAATATCGACCACCACCGTCCCCACTCGACCATCACTGCCCTCCTCAAGTTCACAGCTGAACAGCAGCGGTGAATCGGCCTCAGAGTTGATGATGGACTTTGAGGACGACGAGCAGAGTAGTACCGGCAGAGAGGAAGCCTCCATCAGTGGCGGCGGAATGCCATCAGGCGACACCAACAATAACAACATCAACAGCAGCAGCAGCAATGCTGAAAGATCATCATCGTCATCATCAGCCACAACCCAAGTCAGCATGACACCACTTGAGAGCTCCGACTCGACTTTGGAGCATTCGGCAGCAGCAGCAGCAGCAGCCACTGGTGAAGAGCAAACAGCGCCTTCAGCGATGACCAGTGCCGATGACGGGCACCAACAGCCACACCATTCTGCCGGTAGGTGATCCACCACACTTTCCCACTATTGTCCTTTAGAACTATGAGGATCATCATCACCACTCTATCATGCCCCCTTTTGTCTTGGGCGACCTGATCCCGTGCCATTTTCTCGTGAATCCTCAATATTTGTTCTGGCTCTCTGTGCTCGCCCACTTGCTCCCTTCTCACTCACTTTCTCGCTTTCTTCTTCCACCACACCTTTGACATTTTTCTGGGTTTCTGGTTCAGCTCACTACTCACTACTATTTGCTGGCTCCCTTTCTCTGCCTGTTCTGGTGTCATGCTGGTGGTGCTGTTGTAGAGAGCAGAAAAGCAGATCACAGTGATCATAACGACGAGGAGACTTTCACTTTCCCTCGCCGCCGCACGCCGCACGCGGTGGCAACCAAAGACAGGGAATGAGAGAGAGAGAGAGAGAAAGAAGCCAGAAGAGAGTGCAAGTCTCTTTCACTCACTCTCTTCTGACCTCATTTCCCTCTCACTGGCAAAGCGCGCGCTCACATCGC